AGCGCTGCCGACGATGGCAGCCAGTGGTTCTGCAGAAAGAGAACCTGATATCCCCGATTGCTCTGTGTGGCCCGACCTCCATCCGTTCAACGTGCCATCGGCCACCAGGTACGACTTTTTGCACTTGGACGATGTCCTTGGCCTCCCGGCCAGGGGGCATCCTGCTGGCGTTGCCCCGGTCGTTCCGCGCGGCCGACAGCCTCAATCTTGCAGAATAGGAAGGCTTTCGTGGGCCGGTAGGACCGTATTAGGTGGTCAGCTTGCCCCTGCTCGGCGCGGCGGCTCGCCTGCTGAGCTCCACCGCGCCAATGCTGGTGGTCGACCTGGGAGTCTTGCAGCTAGAACTGGAGGCCCTTAACCCGATGTCCGAAGGGGGCGACGAGGGGCTCGTGCCATTTGGGTTTGCCCGCGGTCGTGACTGGCTGCACCCAGCGGGGGCCCATGCCCTTCGCGATCGCTTTGCCGCCAGGGGCCGTCGCCGCCCTCCGGGCGAGGGAGCGCCGATATTGCAGGCGCTCGACGAGGCAACGTCCACCCGAGTCGCCGCCGCCGCGGCAGAGCTGCGTCTGCGCCAAGCCCTGCCCGATGCCCGGGCCGCCGCCTGCGCCTTCGGGTTCGTGGATTTCGCGATTGCCGCAGCGGGCCCGTCGGAGATCGCGCAGGTTCTTGTCGGGGGCCACGTCGGGCTTAGCCAGCTCCGCGGCGCGCGTTCCCTCTCTGCTGCCAGGCTTGGCTCGCAGCTTCGCCGGCCGATCGCGCGTTTGGCGTTTGACGGAGACAGCAGGGCGCGAAAACCGAGGGATGGAGCGCGCCGCGCCCGTCCAGCTGGGGCGGGGCCGCCGCGAGCTGCGGCGGGTGGCGACCCGCGGCGCCGAGGTCGCCCGCCTCTCCGGGGCCGAGGGCCGGGCGATTCGGGTTGGCCCCGACGCGCCGGCATCGGCGGTGGGGCGCTCGCCCGGTTGAGCCGCGGACCCCCGCGGCCTCGCTCGGCCCGGAGCGGCGCGGGCCTGCGCGACCTGGGCGCCGCGCCCGCCGCGCGGCCAATCGCCGCAAGTTTCCGCGGCAGGCAGGCGACCCTTGAGGCGACGCGTTAGGCGGGCGCGTTGGGCGAAGGCGCGAGTGGGGCACCTGCCCCTCGGACGCCGTCTAGGCCTCTTCCGGGTGCCGCCCCGAGGGCCCCCCCAGGGCCCCCACCCTCCGCAGGTCTCGCGACGCGGAGGCTAGCGGCCACTCAGTCGGAGCCCGCGCCAGCCTCGGGGCGGTCGCCAGCGAGCCCAGGCCTGGCTCTGCGACCCCGCGCAATGCCACCGGGGCCGCGCCGCCCCCGCGGCCTCTCTGCTCCAGCTGGGATCCTGGGCTGGAGGTTCGGGGGGTGCGGGGGGGGGCAGGCCCTCGGGCGCGCCCCCTGCAGCTCGAGCCAGCGCCTTGGGGCCAGTCCGCTGGCGCCGCCGACTCCGATGCAGGCATCGGTTCGGAGGGGCCCCGCGCGGCTGTCCCAGGGCGTCGCCCGTCATTTGCGAACTGGTCGGCAGCGTCCCGGCGCTGTCATCGGGGCGCAGCGCGCCGGTGCAGTCGGGGCGATGGGCCGCGCAGACGGCGGGGGCCGTGGGTCGAAGCGCGCGGGAGATCGGCTAAATTTCGCTGATCCCACAGCGGGCCGCCGCGCCCCGACGCGGCTGCAGCGGGATCGCCTCCCGCCGCCGCCCCCCGCCGAGGGGCCGCCCCCGCCCCCCGCTCCCGGGATTCCGCCCCCCGCGCGGGGGCCCCGGCGCGCACCCGCCCCGCGCTGCTGGGGCACCTCCACGCCCGCCGGTCGGCGCGGCCGTTTCCAGCGATGTTGTTGCGGCCCCGCAGGGAGAGAGGCGGGCCGTCGGCGGGGTTGATGGGGCGCCCTCGGTTTCGGCGCGCGCGTCGACGGCTCGCCGTGCGCCGTCGGCCCTGGCCGCGGCCGCGGCCCCCGCGCGCGGCCGCGCCACCGGGCGTCGCAAGCGCCGGGCTTTCTCCGCATCTAGCGGCCAAGGCTCGCGCAGCTCGCGCGCCCTCGGGCCCGCCCGCGACTTCGCGTCCGGCGCTGCCGGGAGGCGCGGCTGAGGCAGCGGGGTGGCGCCTGAAGGTGGTTGGCGAGCCACTCGCGGTCGTCCGCTGAGTGCTGGTCTGGGGACCTGTTCCAGATTGCCACGTCGCGGCGCCGCTGTTTCGCCCCGCCGCCACCGGGCGCCGCCGCCGGGCGCCCCAGGGACACCGGCCCATGTCCCGGACGGGCAGCGCGCGCCACGTGGACGGCCCCGACGCGCTGCTCGCGACGAGCGCCGTCGTCCCCGATGGGCGCTTCAAGGGCGGGGGGGCATCGATCCACTGTCGCGCGGCGCCGTCGCTGGGATTGGGCTGGGGGGGTGTCGCCCAGCAGCGCAGCGCGGTGGCCGCTGCGACCTCCCTCGACTGCCGGGGGCCTGGGCCTCGGGGCTATACGTCGCGCGTTCGCGCGCGTCGCTCAGGTCGAGCCCTCCCTGGGCTTGCTGCCAGCTGCCCGGCTCCGCGACGTCTCGCGCGCGATGTCGTCGATTCTCGGCGCGCCGGGGCCTCGGGCGCCGCCCGGCGCTCGAGGGCGACGACGCTGCGCCGTCTGAGGTCGAGGCTTCGTCGCGCCGCCTCGCCCCCGGCGCGGGCGTCCCCCTTCGCCGCCGCGCGGGGGGATCTCGCCGCCGACTTGGGCGTCGAGTTCGACGGCGGGTGCCGCGCCTGCCTCCGCGCTTCGGCGGGGGCGAGCAGCGCGCGTCGCTGGCGACCGCGCAGCGGCTACGCGCTCGGCGCTGGCGCAGTCAAGGGGCCGGCGTCTGCGCGCGCGCGGTCGCTGCGTGCGCCCCGCCGTCGCCGCGCCTGCCGCCGCGACGACCCCTGCCGCAGCCGCCGCTCCCGCGGCCTCGGGCCTCGAGCTTAGCTTCGCCCCCCTCCGTGCCGCGCGCGCCCCTTTCGAGCGCGATTATCGCCCCGCGTCTCCTGGCCTTGATCGGCGCCCGAGATGTCGGCGCCGTCGAGCCGCGGCTCGTAGAGCATCTGTTCATCGCGCCTGCCGCGCTGCGCCGTAGCGGGCCGTTGCCCTCGCGAAGTCACGTTTTCTTTCGGGCGCGCGGCTCCATGGCGCGGGGCCTCCGCGTTGCGCGCTGGCGCATGCCGTCCTGGACACCGAGGCCGATCGCCCTCGCTGGCGCGCTTTCGCCTCGGATGCCTGGGGCGCGGCCGAACAGTGGGAGCTCGCCGCGCCCCCCGCGCCCCGCCCTCCACTGCCCCGCGCGCTCCTTCGTGCCCTGGTGGGTCTTTTTGTCTGCTTTGGGATTGGCCATTCGTGGCAGCGCTGCTGCTTGCCTAGCGATCGTTTGGTAATCGGTGGCGATGCCCCTCTCTCCAGGAAAAAACAAAGAACCGATGCCACGTCGCACGTGCCCGACGCAACGCGGCCGCTGTTCGGGCAGGACCTTGGCAGGGCTTTTGATTTGGCACGTCAGCTTACGGGCCCCACCGATCCACCCACGTCTTTCGGGCAACTCGGTGGAACCAGCTGCTCTTGGTTTCTGGAGCCCCGCTTTCCACGGCGCCCTCGGGTCTGAACCTCGCGCCAGCCTGCTTGCGGGACTCAAGGGCGACTGACTTGATCGCTGCCGCGGAAGACGCGCCGCGCGCCTTCCGGCGTGGGCGGCGGTGCTAGGCTTCCAGCTCTGAGCGGCATCGTCAGCCGCCGCCGCTTCGCACGGTTTTCCCGCCTTCCTCGCTTCTGCGCGTACGCGCGTTGCGCGTTGCGTCAGTGCTGGCGACCACCCTGTCGTTTCTTTCCCTGGAGTCGGCCGTTCAGCGCTGTCGACTCGGGTTGCGGCCGCCGGCCAAGACCGCGCACTTGCGCGAGGGTTCTGAGCCTGGGTTTTGCTGCCGGCGTCGCTCGGCCCGCGCGCGTCCGGCGGGCCCGCCCTGCGGGCCCCCCCCCGCTCGCGCCAGCCGCGGCCGCCGCGCGCAGACCGCTCGCCAGCCCCGCGGCAGGAGAACGCCTTCTCTCTTAGTCTCCCTGCCTGCTGCGCCCGACGGTTTTCGACCGGAAGAGGTGCGTCCTCGACCCGCGAATCGAAAGAACTGTTGCGCCCGACGGTCCGCGCTGCTTCTCGGCCCGTCTCCACCAGGGTTGCCCGGCTGGTGGCGCCGACCTGCGGCGCCCAGGTGGGGGTTTTCTTGTGGGCGGCGTCGTTCGGCCCGCGCGCGTTCGGCGGGCCCCCCTCTCCTGAGCCCCCCCCACGCGCGACGGCCGCGGCCTCCGCGCGAAGGCCGCCCGGCAGCGCCGCGGCAGAGTTTTCAGCACATCAGAGAAGCAAGCTGTTCAGATCCCGCGTGTAAAACAATGCAGAGAGAAGGCAGGGTATTGTGTGGACCAGGGGAGAGATGGGTTTCTTGGTCACTGTGTAAATTGGAAAGGGGAGTGCAAGGTGACGGAAGTAAGACACGAAGGCTAAGGGAGGGGGGGAATGAGGGGATAGGTGGTGGGGAAGGTTTTTTCGTCCTTCCTGCCTCGGTGGCTCGCTTGCCCGCCTGCTCACCGTTTCCTTTAGTGGCTATCGTAACCAGGATTGGGCCGAAGGGGTGGCTGGGAGGATTGCCTTGGAGGGTTGCCCAAGTGGACTGGCAGTAGCATTTCTTCGATTGACCTCGGAGGATAAGGGATCGGGATGAGGTGAGGAAGGACGTGTTCCACGTTATCCGACGGTGCGCCAGATGGTTCAATTGGGTTCGGGACGCTCCTTCAAGCGGTGCCATCGCCGCCCCAAAAGCCTTCGTGTCGGCCGCAGATCAGCCAGTTCAGGCGCATACTTTACAAAAGATGGAACGTAGCACAATGTAGGAGTTGTAGGCCATGCGCCACTCACCCACATCAACTGCAGAACTTTTCGCAGGCCGTCGATCACAGCTGTTTTCACAAGTGTCGCATTGGGCCTTGGATTTGGCAGAAAAAGTTCCCTCAGGTTCTACACGGTGACGGTGGGCCGGAAGCGGTCTAAAGCCGGGTATTTCGTGCAGGATGTCAGCAACGTCAGCGAGTTGTTGACTCAGCTGACCGCGCAGACCACGAAGGCGAGCTTGCTCGAGCAACCGCGCAGACAGGAGCTGAGGTCTGGGTTGCAGCATTGTCCGTTGTTGTTCCCCTCTCTCCCTGCCTGTCGCCTTCTCTCGTTATTCGTTGGCTTGTGGTTTGTTTTTTTTGTTACCTAACATCGAAGACTGATAGGTTTCTAATGGGCTAAAAAGAGAGCAGCACATTACTTCAACATTACTTCAACATTACTCCACAGGGGGGTCTGGGCAGCCGTTGGGGGCAGTTGGGTGGCAGTTGGGGGGCTGTTGGGGTTTGCCGGCGGGGATCGTTTTTCGCATACAGTCACACACTTCGTGCTCTTCGATTTCCCAGAACTCCATTCCCGGGCCACATTTTGGAATGCCCGGAGCCAACTGTAGGCCACTTCGTGCTCTTCGATTTCCCAGAACTCCATTCCCGGGCCACATTTTGGATGCCCGGAGCCAACTGTAGGCCACTTCGTGCTCTTCGATTTCCCAGAACTCCATTCCCGGGCCACATTTTGGATGCCCGGAGCCAACTGTAGGCCACTTCGTGCTCTTCGAGTTCCCAGAACTCCATTCCCGGGCCACATTTTGGATGCCCGGAGCCAACTGTAGGCCACTTCGTGGTCTTCGAGTTCCCAGAACTCCATTCCTGGGCATGATTTTGAATGCCCGGAGCCAACTGTAGGCCACTTCGTGTTCTTCGAGTTCCCAGAACTCCATTCCCGGGCCACATTTTGAATGCTGAGGCAGGCTGATGCTGAGGCTGAGGCAGGCTGAGGCTGAGGCAGGCTGAGGCTGAGGCCGAGGCTGAGGCAGAGGCTGAGGCTGAGGCTGAAGCAGGCTGATGCTGAGGCAGGCTGAGGCTGAGGCTGAGGCTGATGCAGGCTGAGGCTGAGGCAGGCTGAGGCTGAGGCCGAGGCTGAAGGCAGACTGAGGCTGAGGCTGAAGCAGGCTGAGGCTGAGGCTGAGGAGGCTGAGGCTGAGGCTGAGGCAGGCTGATGCTGAGGCAGGCTGAGGCTGAGGCTGAGGCTGATGCAGGCTGAGGCTGAGGCAGGCTGAGGCTGAGGCCGAGGCTGAAGGCAGACTGAGGCTGAGGCTGAAGCAGGCTGAGGCTGAGGCTGAGGCAGGCTGAGGCTGAGGCTGAGGCAGGCTGATGCTGAGGCAGGCTGAGGCTGAGGCTGAGGCTGATGCAGGCTGAGGCTGAGGCAGGCTGAGGCTGAGGCCGAGGCTGAAGGCAGACTGAGGCTGAGGCTGCAGGCTGAGGCTGAGGCAGGCTGAGGCTGAGGCTGAGGCAGGCTGATGCTGAGGCAGGCTGAGGCTGAGGCTGAGGCTGATGCAGGCTGAGGCTGAGGCAGGCTGAGGCTGAGGCCGAGGCTGAAGGCAGACTGAGGCTGAGGCTGAAGCAGGCTGAGGCTGAGGCTGAGGCTGAGGCTGAGGCTGAGGCTGAGGCTGAGGCTGCAGGCTGAGGCTGCTGAGGCAGGCTGAGGCTGAGGCTGAGGCTGATGCAGGCTGAGGCTGAGGCAGGCTGAGGCTGAGGCCGAGGCTGAAGGCAGACTGAGGCTGAGGCTGAAGCAGGCTGAGGCTGAGGCTGAGGCAGGCTGAGGCTGAGGCTGAGGCAGGCTGAGGCTGAGGCAGGCTGAGGCTGAGGCTGAGGCTCATGCAGGCTGAGGCTGAGGCAGGCTGAGGCTGAGGCCGAGGCTGAAGGCAGACTGAGGCTGAGGCTGAAGCAGGCTGAGGCTGAGGCTGAGGCAGGCTGAGGCTGAGGCTGATGAGGCTGAGGCTGAGGCAGGCTGTGGAGGCTGAGGCTGATGCAGGCTGAGGCTGAGGCAGGCTGAGGCTGAGGCGAGGCTGAAGGCAGACTGAGGCTGAGGCTGAAGCAGGCTGAGGCTGAGGCTGAGGCAGGCTGAGGCTGAGGCTGAGGCAGGCTGAGGCTGAGGCAGGCTGAGGCTGAGGCCGAGGCTGAAGGCAGACTGAGGCTGAGGCTGAAAGGCTGAGGCTGAGGCTGAGGCAGGCTGAGGCAGGCTGAGGCTGAGGCTGAGGCAGGCTGATGCTGAGGCAGGCTGAGGCTGAGGCTGAGGCTGATGCAGGCTGAGGCTGAGGCAGGCTGAGGCTGAGGCCGAGGCTGAAGGCAGACTGAGGCTGAGGCTGAAGCAGGCTGAGGCTGAGGCTGAGGCAGGCTGAGGCTGAGGCAGGCTGAGGCTGAGGCTGATGCTGAGGCAGGCTGAGGCTGAGGCTGAGGCTGATGCAGGCTGAGGCTGAGGCAGGCTGAGGCTGAGGCCGAGGCTGAAGGCAGACTGAGGCTGAGGCTGAAGCAGGCTGAGGCTGAGGCTGAGGCAGGCTGAGGCTGAGGCAGGCTGAGGCTGAGGCTGAGGCAGGCTGAGGCTGAGGCTGTGACTGCGACTGTCGTTGCCACTGCGACTGTCATCGCGAATGCGACTACGACTGCGAGAACAGCAGAATTCTACAACTGGATTCTCATCCGAACCTTAAGGGGAATGCTTCCAGATATGCTCCTACACATCGATGTTAGGTTGCTTTGCCGGGATAATCTTCTCTCTCATGATTTGGTTTCCTCTCTCTCTATATCTCTTTCTCACTCGCACTCTCACTCTCGCTCCTCTCACTCGCATTCTCACTCTCACTCGCACTTAGCCATCCCTCAGTCTTCCCCTTGCTTATCAATGCCAGTTGGACCATCGGGTGTGATCTAAGGCGTTTGGGTGCCTGGACCGTTTCTCGAATCCGAGCCCAACACGACCCCCATTAGGAGTTGGTTGAAGACGCAAAGCACTGCTTAGTCTCGCCGATCGTGGTGTAGGAGCTCTGGTCGGAGCCGTGCTACCACAGTGCGCCATGCAATGATATAGCACTTCTGCACACTACAACATGGCACAACAGTGCATCGCGTACCACATCATGGCGCGCCACATCATGGCATAGCATGGCATCTGACCCCAGCAACCCCAGCGACCTCGAGGACCCGCCTGCGGGAGGCCGAGTCGACCATTGGTTCGAACGAGAGGAGTGTGGCTTACAGTCGGGGCCCTGAAGAAGGAACCCTTTTCGTTGGGGAGGGGCTCCGTGTGCCTTGATTGCTTCACAGTTTGCCTCGGGTTTTCCTTCGGTTTTCGATGGGAAATCGAAGTTCAACTTGTGGATGAAAAGGGCCTCGTTCCTTATTGAGGGTTCTTTGGGTCAACGCTCCGACTGTACGAAGACTGGTGCATGCAGCTGGCTTCGGCCCCACCGCTGGGCGCACCCCTCGATACATGAGCGCCTTCGGCGCCAGGCGGCGCCGGAAACCTGGGCCGGCACGGAAACGGAAAGAGCGCCTCGGGCACTTGCGCGAGATAGCTCATGGCACCCTTCGCTCTTGGGAGCCTCGGTGTGGAGACCTTGTTGCGTCGCCGTCATCGTTAGGAGCCCTGGTGTTCAGAGATTGTTACGTTGCCGCCCGTTCCTGGGCCTTGGCTGGGCCTTGGTGTCAAGAACTTGCGGGCCGTTTGAGGGCCTCTTTTGGGGCTCGTAGGGCCTGTTGGGATATCCTGGGGGCCTCTTGGGGGCCTCGTGGGGCTTCTTGGGGGGTTCTTGGGGCCTCCTGGGAGCTTCTTCGGGCGAAAAGCTAAATTTTTCGGTTCGTGGTCTCCCTCTTGGGGCCGTCTTGGGGCGCTCTATGGCCGTCTTGGGTGCCTCTTGGGCCCTCTTGGGCCGTTTCGGGAGCCTCTTGGGAGCCCCTTGGGCTGTCTGGGGGCGGTCTTTGGGGCCTCCTGGACCGTCTTCAACGCCGTGAAAGCCGAAAAGCCGTGTATGGTAAACATGTATTTTTCCTTATAGGGAATCAAGAATTGTGGCCTCCTGGCGGCCTTTTGGGACGCCTCTTGGGGGCCTCTTGGGGGGCTCTTGGGGCCTCCTGGGGGCGTCTTGGGGCGAAAGGCTAGACTTTTCGGTTCGTGGTCCCCCTCTTGGCCGGCCGTGGCTCTCTGGGGCCGTCTTGGGCGCCTCTTGGGCCGTCTGGCCTCTTGGGCCGTTTTGGGGGACTCTTGGGAGCCTCTTGGGCCGTCTTGGGGCGGTCTTGGGGGCCTCTTGGGCCGTCGTCAACGCCGTGAAAGCCGAAAAGCCGTATATGCTACAAATGCACGTTTCCCCATGGAAATATACATGAGTTTGGCCTCTTGGGGCCCTCTTGGGACGCCCCTTGGGCGCCTCTTGGGGGCCTCTTGGAGGCCTCTTGGGCCGTCTTGGGCTGTCTTGGGCGGTCTTGGGCTCTTCTGGGACGGAACAGGGGGGAACCCGAAAAACATACAAAAACCATATGGAAAGCCCGAAAAAAGCCATTCGACCACCGCATCCGGGCCTCGCACCCCCCCTGGACCCCCCCCTTAAGGGCTTCGCCCCAACTCAACGTCATCACTCGTACCTCGCTCTTTCCGTCTTACCAGCTGCATGCAGTGATTTTCGTACCCTCCCTTTTGGTATCCCCATCCTCCCTGCGTCCGCCCCGAGCCGGGGGCCAGCGCGGTTATGGCCAACAGGGCCTCTGCACACCAATCCAGCCTTTGCACAACATAAGCGAGAACCTCTAGACAAAGGTGGCCTTGGGAAGAAAACGTGTGGGCGGGCCGACAGTTTCAGCGCCAGAGGAGGCCCCCAAGATGTGGGCGCATGCGATCCGAAATCATATCCTACCCATCGGGGCGTTGAGACACTGTAGCATTTGCGTGGGGTAAGTGAGTATAGCGCCTGATCGCAATGCAGATGTCGAGCTCTATCTCGGCTCCTAGGTGTAAGCATTTGTAAATGGAGAAGACATGACGAGGTAATTAACGGCTTTGTCACCACTAGCTGCTGCAATGGCTTGGTGCTTTTGATGTTCACATTTTTCCATATCGACAACTTGAAAACGTGCTTCACGACAATGGGCGCGTTCCATCTCATGCAAATCCTCATCTAATTGGAGGTTCCGATTGAGCTAGCATGGGCTGTCAATTTCGCGGCCCCAGTTTCGCCAATCAGTCGTACCGATGGCATACGGAAGTCACGCCTTCTCCTTGGTCATGACATCTTGACACAACTGCCGTGCGTGCTCTCATCCACCGAAGGAAAAACACTGCACCAGCATAATCTCGTGGCGCTCCGCGCGGATTTCCCGGATCGGTGCTGGGCTCCCTCTGGCTCGCCCGTGGCGCGCCCCCACCCAGGGGCGGCGGCGAAGGCGCCCGCAGGGGGGGGCCCAGCTCCAGACGGTGCATGCGCCAAGGGGCGCTGCCCCTGTGCCGTGCGGAGTTGGCCCTGAAATCCGTGCCCGGCTGTTCCTGCCTCTGGGTCCTGGCCTTTGCCAGTGGGCGTGTTGCTGGGTCTGGCGGCTAACGAGACTGTCGGCGGCGAGCCCACGGGGGAAGTGAGATGGGGTCAGGCCTTCTCAGGAGGCGCCGCCCCTTTGTACCCTTCACCTTCCCCTGGGCTCGCCGCCGAGAAGGGGCTCCGGTGGATGTCGGTGGGCACTCTGCCAGGTCTCAGCGGTGGCCGGCGTGGGGTTCCACACACAGGGTTCCACACGCACGGTTCCCCGCGCATACGGTTCCGATGATGGGTTCCATTCAGGGTTCCGCAGACAGGCTTTCAGACATGAGGCTTGAATTTTTGTTCCAGGGAGCGGGAGGGGCGCCTCCAATCCAACCAGGGTCCATCCTGCCAGTGCGTCATCAGCTTGCGCCACTGGCCAGGCGCAGTTCTCGAGGTTCCAGTCCATGCCCAACTTAGCCGGAGCAGGGTCGCCAGAGCTCTCCGGCTCCGACGAGGACTGAGTTAGGCAGCCCATTTTCGGATGTTGACGAAGTATTAGGTCTTCACATGTGGGAAGGGGAGGATGTCGAACAGGAGGAGAGCATGTGGATGAGGAAGGCCAGGCAATGGACGAGGGTAGTGGAGGGGAAGGAGTGAGGGCGATGACGAAGAACAGTGAGGTGACAAGAATAGAGGACAGCTGCGTTGTTTTGGAGGGTAGCGGTGGAGGAAGAGGATGGACAATAAGGAGAAAGGAGACGTTTATTGCCGATGGTTTGCAGGCACACGTGCTTCCACGCCATCCCCGCGGGCTGCTCTACAACCCGCGCGTTTCCCGGCACCCGCCCCAGCACGTGCGGCCGCGCCACCCCACGTGCCACTCAGCACGCACGCTTCCTGGCACGTGCGGCCCCGACCTACTTGCAAATTTGAACACTCCTGAACTCACACGAAGACAAGGCGGTTCGGAGCCCCACCGGGTCTCTCTGCCGCGCACTGGCGACTCTCTCCTACTCCTGCATCACCTGATACCTTTGGCAGCTACTGCAGGCAGGTTTCCGTTGCTTGCGCAACCGCCTCGGGCGGCACAAGTAAAGACCCCCAAGTCCATCCGAGAAGACGGACTCAGGCAGCGACGAGGAGGCGTGGGACCCATGCGTGGCGGACGGTGTGGCTTGGATCGGCACCCAGGGAACGTTTTGCTGCTTGCAGCACCGCAGGACCTGCCACGACCGCAAAGTGTCGGAGCCCGTTCCGCTCCTCGTGGACGACGCGCCGACCTCGAACGCGCGGGGTGGAAGAGGAACGCACGAGGCCCCCCCCCCCCCTCTGGCCACGCTCTGTGTGTCTTTCTGGCAAAGTGCAAGGCAGCCAGGCACAAGCTAAAGTGCAGCCCCGAGGGCCCATCGTGCCTGCCGGTGGCGCAGCAGTCGCGCGCGGCTCCCCCGGAGGGCACACCTGGTCACGGGGCCGGGGCAACGGCTCCCCTGCCTTGCCCTGCTGTGTTCGCCAGGGGCCCAGACGTGCGGGCCCCCGTGGTGCACTACTTTTTGGTGGGTGGCGGACCGCGCAGCGGCTGATCCCATTGTTGCGCAACGAGAAATGGCCCTCCCGTTCCCGCGCCTCCGGTCCTGTCAGTGGTAGGTAGTTCGCCCGGTGTATGTCAGGGCGTTGCCTGCAAACTACTGGTTCCCCGGCCCGCGGCTGTGCCCTCTCCCTCTCTTTCGATGCCTCCCTGACGTAGCCTGTTTGGCTCGAGCAGGTTGCGCTTTTCCGCACGCCCACCCTATTGTCCCGCGTTTACGTGGGCGGGCGGGCGGCGGACCGCACAGCGGCTGATCCCAGCTTGGGCCAAGTAGTTCTCCGTACTTCGGGTCTTGCGAATGGTCAGACCATCGTCCGGGAACCAAAACTCAGAATTAGAAACTGTCGGAACTCTGCGCGGACATCCTGGTTCGCGGCGCCGCCGGCGCAGACCCTGGCGCGCTGGGGCCAGCGCGGATCCAGGAAATCCGCGCGGAGATGCGACAGTTGATCAGTCTGCCCAGGTTGCCCCGGGATCGGCCCGCCCGTCGAGCGTTGCCATTTTCCTTGTGTTTTCGCATTGGCAATACGATATCGGGCTTACGTATTACCGCCAGGGGCCCGCTAGTAGCCAAACGCGTCGTGGATTTACTCCAGAGCATTGTTTTGGTAAGCGGCTGGACGGTTCGTCGTTTTTCAACGCCACAAAACAAGACAAATGACCGACAACGCAACATGCTGTTTGGGTCGGCGACGAGATCCGAACCGCACCCTCGCCGATCAGCGGTGCAGGCAACCGGGCGCGCGGCGGGGTTAACTAGGGCTCGAACTTTGTCGAACGCGCGGGGGACATCCCAACCGCACGCCCGCCCTCCATCGATTCAGGAGAGCCGGTGGTTGGCGGGGGTAGGGGTCGGATGTCGACACTTAGTTTTTCAACACCCCCAAACAGCAAGTGAGTGCCAACGCCAAACGCGGTTTCGGTCCACTCTTCAGGTGGCCTGGTCTTGCGCCGCCCCCTTCTGCCCGAAACAGCGCTTTGGAGGACATCCAAGGGATGATGGTTTTGGCCAGGCGGCCACGAGACAGGCTCCCTAGCGCGAGCCACTGACGGGCTCGCGCTGGCAAGGCGTTGCAGCACGGACGCTGCGCGCCCTTTCGGCACGCTCGCTGGCCCATCGGCCACCATCGGAACAAACAAAACCAAAACCGCAGCCACGGCACGTAGCGGCCACTTGCCTGCAACGGGAGGCCCCCTCGGGGCGAACGCGGGGCCGCTTTTGCGGGAACCCGCCGACGCGCGGCAGCGCACCAGGCTGCCGCGCGCGAAGATGCTGCAAAACGCCGAGGCAACGCCTAGAAGAAAGGTGAGCGCGGGGATGTGACCACTGAGCCGCCCAAGGCGCGTGCGCCCAGGGGCCATCGGGCCCCCCCTCCTCGCCGCGGGTCCAGTGCCGCCCGTCTCCCGGCTCGCGGCCCGCAAAGCCCGGGGCCGCGTCCGGCGCCCGAGAGGCGCGATTCCGGGGGGCACACTGACCAGAGCAGCCCACATCTCGGCTCTGGCGCTCGGCGCACCGCGCCGCGCCGCTGTGCACAGAAGTGGCGCGGAGGGGCGCCCAGGGCACACGACCCGCGCGCGGCCCAATGCGGCAGCCCCCCCACGAATTGCAAAATGCGAGCTTGCACGGTGGCCCCAAACAGATCGCCCACTGCCGCGCCCCATCGCGGCCCAGGCCTCGGGACTCTGGCCCAGCCTGGACTGGGGGGGGGTCCTGGCCCCACACTACCCAAGCGCTCCTAGCGGCCTGGCCCCTCGCCGCGCTGGAGATCCGATGACTTCTCGCGGCTCCCTACTCCTCCATCCTGGCTAATTTCCGTCGCCGGGCGGATCCACCCCCACAGCCACCTCCGCAGTGAGTTTGCAGTAGTTGCACAGCGAGATGTCGCAGCTCTTGCAGTACCACCGCATCGTCGCGGCGTTCGCCTCCCGGCCCCTGCAGTTGGGCGAACCTTCGGTGCAGGTCCAGTCCCGCTCCAGGCAGCGGAAGGTGATCCAGCGCATCTGCGTCCCACGTGCCCCGCAGACCGGGAAGTCTGGCACCGTCTCTTCCTCCCCGTCCGACCCTGCGCCAGTTCCAAGCGCCTTCGATGCCCACTGCGGCGCGATGTCGTCGTCGTCGTCGTCGTCGTCCCCCTCGAAGAAGCGGCGCCCCTTACAAAACGCAGCCAGCGCGCGCTGCGCGACCTCGTGGCGCTCGAACTCGGACAGCACCATGGGCCCCCACTCCCAATTCATGTCATAGACGAAATCCGCGTGGATCACCTCACCGTAGGAGCTGAAAAGCTCCCAGAGGTTGCTCATCTTGAGCTTGCACGGGACCTGGCTGAGCCTGATCACCCGCTCTCCCATCTCTCCAGCGCCCTCGGCCGCTCCTCCAGCGCCAGCTGCGGGCGCGGGTTGGCGGCCCGGCCTTGCCCGTCGCACCCGCGATGTCAGCCGCCGTCTCTTCCTTGGGGCGATCGCTCTGGGCGACCTCGCGCCTGCCTTTCGGCGGAGGGGGGATCTCCGCGCCACCTGGCCGCTCCGCCCCCAGGCTCGCCCCGCTGGGCTCCACGTGGCGCGCATTTCAGGGCGGGTCGGTTAGCGTTGAGAGCACCTCTCGCGCTTGGGTTGGCGCGGGGCTGGAGCCCCTTCCTTCTGCGCCGCCTCGGCTGGCCCCCTTTCCCTCGCCAGTGCTCGGCTGGGCTGAGGGCTCGCCGCCGTCGGCATGCGGATGGGCGCCGCCGCGTTGCGGCCGCCCGCCTGGGCCGCGGCCCGCGCCGGCTTCGCGTCGGCCGGGTTGCCCACGTCGTCCTCGTCCACCTTCTCGCGCGACGCCTTCAGGGCCGATGTCGCCCGCGGCCTCCAGGTTGAATCTAGTCGCCAGCTCGCGCAGGCCTGGGGCGCGCCGCAGTAGGCGGCGGCGGGGGCCCAATTCCGCGCCCGCGAACAGCCCGACGGCCAGCGCCAGTCTCGCCGACCTCTTCCAGTCCTTGCCGTTCCCCGCGAAGCCCGCCGCCCATAGCGCGTGGTCCCCGTCCGCAACGCAGCAGGCCCCGCAGTCCTCTGGCCCGCCGGCTGCGACGCAGGCTCGCCCCGCGCTCGGCGCCGGCTCGCGATCCAGATCGCCCAGTTCCACCGGGTCTTCCTCGATATCCAGGTTCTCGCCGAGCAGCTCCTGCAGCGGCCCGCGCGCGCGCGGGGGCAGCTCCTGCGCCTCGCCGGCCACCGCCGGCGCTCCCACTGCAGCCACCCGTGCGATCATCTTCTCGCGCCCTGCCAGGCTGTCGCCACAGGCGCCGCGGCGGCGACGGCGACCGTCGCCGGAGCCCCGCCCGACTGGACCGAGCTCGCCTCGGCCCCAGCGCCCGCGCCTTCCAGAGCCCGAAACGGCCGCGGCACGGCGTGCGCGGGGGGCAGGAGAGCAGGGTGAGGGAGTTAGCGAGAGCACCACCTGTTTCCCTCCACGCCTCGATCCGAAGCGCAATGATTGGCTGACCGATTCCCGGGCGCCCACGGGTCCGATGCGACTGCAGTGAGCGCGAACGTCGCTGCCCACTCACCCCCATCGTTAACGGCGACGATGGGGCATCTCGCGACTCCCGGACGATGGCTTCCCAACGATAAATCGTAAGCCCACAAGCGCGAAGACAACAATAGCGAAGAGACAATGACAACGAAACGAGAGATGGCCAGCACATGTTTTTCGTTGTTCGAACCCTCAGGTGGCCTGGCACGATGCCGCCTGTTCGGCCCAGAGCAGCGTTTTGGAGCACATCCGAAGTTGTGATTGGCCGTTGACGGGCCCTCGCTGATAAGTCGCACGTCCAAGTCCGCGAGGACAAAGCGAAAGCGATGAGAACACGTCAGCGACCCACGCGACTGCCAACAAACAAATGTCGTTGAACGAGACCTTAGGTAGCCGGGTCCAACGCGGCCATTTCTGCCCCAAACAGCGCTTTGGAGTACCTTCGAAGATGTGACTGGCCGGTCGTCTGCTCTCGACGATAAGCTTTCAGTCCGGCGCCGC